CCCAAAAAAAATCTCCATCCTTTGTTCTGTGCCTCCGTATTACGGGTAACAGAGCAGGTTATTGCTTAGGAAGGGTGCTAAAAAGATAGGGGACACAAATTACTATGAGCTTTGAGTTTTCTCGCCCTTTATTTTTCGTCAATATAACATGCATGGCTAAAATAGTTACAGCTTGGCTTCACGGACAGTGGTTTAAACTTTTATCATTATACCGGGGGAGCATTTCGCAACATTGCATCTACTGTGCAAAAGATGTTGGTCACACTTCTACTTTATAATATATATTTTCAACAGAATTGTGTTTGGATTGTAATCAAGCTTTATAGATAACAGGGATGATGATGGCGGAGGAGGATTAGTAGTGGCGGTCACATCCTATATATATCTACATGTGTTATCTGATGAACCTTGCTAGTAGACCAGCCTTTCCGTTAAATCTGATCTTTAGACAGTCGAAACACTGCTGGCGCCAATTCTGTCCTTTCTGCTTGGTTGCAGCCTCATGGTTTGAGTTTGATTCAATCAACGTAGAGGTGATCGAATGGCACAGAAGGGGTTACAATGGGAGACCAGTCTGTAGCTTCAGCCCATATCCTCTTTATTAATAATGAAATACCAAAGTTGCAGGAAAGGTGGCCGGGTATTCATATACCCTTAGACCATGTCCCCTAGAGGGTAGTTGAAGACCTCTCTGTAGTTAAAAGCATTGACACTCCATGGCCCGGCAGTGCAGCACATTCATTTTGTCCTAAGCCTTGACTTATAGGGAAAATACAGTTTGTTGGTTCAAACAACACAGAACTGTTAAAACGTTCACTTTTTTATTGTGTTGCTAGATCTAGATCTAGAAGTGGATCTAGATTTTTTTTTTTCATGGTAAGTGCATGTATGCAAAATAATGTGTAAGTGCAGCACTTCCAGGTATTTATTACCTCTCTCAGCACCATAGTACTCCCCATGAGAATGACTTTATCTTCTTCTCTCTCCATAAGGACAGATTCAGCTTTGTCCATGCATCATCCAGGGTCAACATCTACTATCTGTGCTGGCTCAGAGATAACACCATTATGTAAATTCGGGTACCAGTGAAGTTCTTGTCTGTGTTCACAAAGATCAGCCCCTCTGCTGCAGCCTCTCACATTGTAACTTGCTGCAAAATTACAATGTACAGTCTGATTACTGGGGGAGAGGAGACTGAAAAAAAGCTTCCACCTGCCTGTAGAAGACTGATAGCACCATATCAGCCTAGGAAAGGCCACTGCCACTGTTTCTTAATGATACTAAAAGTGGAGCTTTCCTTTAAAAAAATAAAAACTGTTGCTACAAACCGATCAGCCATTACATTATGACCACCCCCTAATATTGAGTAGGTCCCCCTTCTGATGCCCAAACAGCCCTGACCCATCAAGGCATGGACCCCACTAGACCTCTGAAGGTATGCGGTGGTATTTGGCACCAAGCCGTCAGTTGCAGATCCTTTAAGTCCTGTAAGTTACGAGGTGGGGGCTCCATGGATCGGACTTGCTTTTCCAGCACAACCCACAGATGCTCGATTGTATTGCGATCTGGAAAATTTGGAGACCAAGTCAACACCTCATACTTGTTGTGTTCCTCAAACCATTCTTGAACCATTTTTGCAGTGTGGCAGGGTGCATTATCCTGCAGAAAGAGGCCCCTGTCATCAGGGAATACCATTTCCATGGAGGTGTGTACTTGGTCATCGCGGTGTCTAGGTAGGTGCAAAGTAACATCTACATGAACGGCAGCACCCAAGGTTTCCCAGCAGAACATTGCCCAAAGCATCACAACTTCTCTGCCATCTTGCCTTCTTCTCATAGTGCATCCTGGTGCCATCTCTTCCCCAGACACACATGGATCTGGCCATCCACATAATGTAAAAGAAAAGTTGATTGATCAGACCAGGCCATCTTCCTCCATAGCTCGATGGTCCGGTTCTGATGCTCATTTGCCCATTGTAGGCACTTTTGGCGGTGAAGAGGGGTCAGCATGGGCACCCTAACTGGTCTGGGGCCACACAGCCCCATACACAACAAACTGTGATCAACTGTGTGTTCAGACACCTTTCTATCGCAACCAGCATTCACTTTTTCAGCAATTCGATCAGACCACATGTGCCAGTCTTTGCTACCCACATACATCAATGAGCCTTGGCCACCCATAACCCTGTTGCTGGTTCACTGGTTTTCCTTCCTTGGACCTTTTGGTAGGTCCTGACCACTGCAGACCGGAAACATCCCACAAGAGCTGAAGTTTTGGAGTTGCTCTGACCCAGTCGTCTAACCATCACAATTTGCCCCTTGTCAAAGTCTCTCAAATGCCCATTTTTTCTGCTTCCAAAACATCAACTTCAGGGATAAAATGATTACTTGCTGCCTATTATATCCCACCCACTTCCAGGTGCCATTGTAACCAGATAATCAATGTGATTCACTTCACCTCTCAGTGGTCATAATGTTATAGCTGATCAGTGTATATTGTGACATATCAGGAATGTACTTATGCAAACTTGTAACGTTAATGAAGTTAATGAATGATCCACTTTAAAGCGACTTGGTCGCTAAATGCAAACTACAAGGCGTCCCTGCAAAAAAGATAGCAAATATCTCTCCTGCTGTTCACACTGCTAAAAGCCACTCTACTGAAGTGGAATAGCCAAATGTACACTCTTCAAAGGATTGACACTTCCTGGGGTGTCAATCTGCTGTCCCCCTGCTGCTCTCAGTAGTTCCTTTCGCTGTCCCCTTCACCAATACAGGACCTAGTAGTCCCTCCAGGGGATGGAGGGATGAACCATTTAGTGCTGTAGGGGAACCAGAAATCGTACATTCTCAGGAGCATCAGTTTCGTAAGAGTGTTCAGGCAGAAAGTTCTCTTCATTAGAGAAGTGTTCCATGGCACAGGCAGCGGGAGAGATAAGCATTTGCTATTTTCTTTGCAGGGAGACTTTTACTCAGAGATTGAGTCTTGCAGCAGAGAGACTTTAAACACATATAGTTGTAAAGAGATAGTAGACCAATATAGAGGAACTACACATCAAGGACTGTAATGCTGTCAACTTCTGTCCCTCATCATGTGATCACTTAGCGGTACTGACTGATTTTAGGTGTGTGAGAGACAATATTAAGATCGATGTAGTGTTTCTGCTAAACTCTGAGGAATAAACAATGAGGCCATACTGCTCTGCTTTCCTGTCTATTGGCAAGCAGGATAAATGAGAGAGCTCAGCAACAGTGACCAACAGCATGCAAACCTGAATCTTGCCATGCTCGGGGCTCTTACCTTTTAATCTACAGGCAATGTACAAACTGCTATTACCTGTAATCCTTCACTTAATTAAAGGGACAATATACTGCGATCTCAAAGAGAGTATGAAAGATTTTGATGTATTATTGTGATGTGTAACAGAAGGTCATTCTTTTCTACAATGTTCACCTTTTTTACGTTTGCTGTACCAGTATTTCTATTATTAATTCTTAAATATTAATATTAAATAATTCTGTATTACTATTTAAAATACAGATTTGTTGACTGTCTTTCAAATGGCAGGCTGTATAATCACCCCATGATCCACATAATAGAAAGACAGTTGTTTTCAATTGGGTAGACTTACACCGAAGAGATGAACGGAAAAGCACAGCTACTGTGTAGGACTAAAGCTGGGTATGCACGGTTCTATTTTTCTATTGTTCGACCTGCAGGCTGACTGAAAACATAGTACAGATTCCTCCATCCACACTGAATAGCATGGATGGACAAATCCCCCGCTGTTTCTATTATATTTTGACAGCAGTGCGGGCCACTGTCAGAATGCCTGAATGGTGCATGCAGCTGATTTTCTCCAAGCACCATTCAACCAAATATTATCCAAAATGTTCCTTAGGCAAAAGTCGATCCTTAGATCTGCTGATGGAACAGAGTCACCAACGCAACGAGTTTCGGCCAATCTCTGGTGAATCATCTGAATTTCGCTCCGTGAGTACCCAGTGCCAGATTTACTCTTTCTGCTGCCACAAGGCCAGGTTCCTCAATGCGCCCGCCTACCTGCCAAAAAGGCCCCCCACCGCCTCCCCCCCTGGAATAAACAGGGCCGGATTCACTCTTTCTGCTGCCCCAAGGCCAGATTCCTCAATGCGCCCCCCCTACCCGCCAACCACCCCCTCCCCATGGAGAATGACAGACCTGCAGGTTGCAAACAAGCGGCGGCCTCCCTGCTGTACATTTAGCTATGCTTGCCCAAAGCAGGGCTAAATGTAGAAAACAACTACCCGCCCGAACCCTGAACCGCGTGTTCCGGGCATCGGAAGATAGGAATTCCACACCCCCGCTGCCCCTCTACTCCCTGCTGCCCCGATGCCAGGCCTTGGTTGGCCTTGTGGGAAATACTGCCCTGCGTGTACCCCACTTAACACAAGAAACAGAGCCCACAATGGATGTAAAGAGTAAACATGGCTGCCCCCATATTTCCAAACTA